CCCCCAACCAATCAGAACACAGCCAAACCCCCTACCAATGAGAACACACCCCCACCCAATCAGAACACAGCCAAGCCCCCACCCAATCAAGTTCCACCCCCACTGGCAGTTAAAAGGAGGAAGCAGCTGCAATCTCCATTACTCTGAGAAGCACAGAGCTGGAGACAGAAGCCTGAAGATGATGAATGAGACTTCATCGAAACGTTGCCTAGATACTTCAAATCTTACGCGGGAGAAAACCCGAACAACCAAAGATCTACATATAAATACCCGCGAGAACCTCAGAAAACAAATATATATATATATATATATATATATATATATATATATATACACATACATGCCTTGGTTTTATATTATTGGATGCATACACTCAAGAGCTGTTGTTTTCAGATTTCTCATTTCATTCATGCTATGGGAATTCTGGTTATCTCAAAATATGATCAAATTTTATAGCCAGAAATGTTTAACTATTTAGATTTCCTGGATTCTGGATAGCAGGAAAACTTCCTGATCATGGCAGCTTCTTGATCCTTCTTTTAATAGATAAGCTGTGGAGGTCAGTATTATGACCCTAGGACCTGAAAATGCTTATTAATATAGCAGGTAACTATCACTTGGAACTACATCTAAATCACCAGGTAAATCTGTCAATAGGGAAGATGTTATAAGACTATGTATCTCATAAAGTTATTTTCCTGGGTTACGATTATAAACAAGCTCTCCCGGTGGCTTTTGACTCTGTCCATCTTTCAGCAATAATTTGAACAAGAAATTGAATGTAAACTGCACATAGAAGTCTGTAAACAGGATTAGCACTACAAATTTAGCAGAAGGTGGCACACATTGCCTTCCTAAATTAAAATAATTATGTTTTCATTTTCTATTATCAAGATCTTGTGAGTATAATTAACAGTTTCATGTTCTAGGTCAACTGCTTGCGTGGGAACTTGGGCAAGTCTTATACAATCTAAGATTTGTGGGAGGGAGCTGCCTCTTTTTAATTATAACAGCATAAATGTTTTCAAAGGCAACAGTTCCCAACCTTTTGGGGGACAGGCACAGGACAGTTTTTCTGTGGACCAGGGAGGCGTGGTTTTGCACGCTGCCTAAATCCCATGTCTATATGGATGGGGGCTTCAGTTGCTTGCACAGCCCAGTTCCTAGTGAGCCACGAACCAGTGCCGGTCTGTGAACCAAGGGTTAGGGATCCCTGATCAAAGGTCATCTAAAATGACTCAGGGAATATTCAGGAGATCAGTTCAGTTTTGACCTTACTAACTTTTCAACAGTGTAAAACTGATCATGTTTCACAGGTATTGTGCTGTCCCAGCCAGTCTATGGGAATTGGATAGTTACTTAAGAATTATGAGCTGTCCCATTAAGGGAAGGCATCATGGTAAATGTAGTTAAAGGTATCCTGGGAAATGTTGTTCATGTCACGTGGTCACATCTGTAATCCCGATTGGTCACTAATTTGACCCTCGATGAGTTGGGGGAGTTTCCCTCACTTTTGCCCCAACTCCCTAACTCATGGCAGCTGCTTTCTATCACTATGAGATGGGTTAGGAGATAACCATCCTTTACTACCAGGCAAATATACAAAGGATTGGTCATTAAAGAAGACCTTCATCACAAATGTGAGTTATCAGGATTCCTGATGAACCAATAAATGTACGTTGTTATGGATGTTTTGTGGAGTTTACCTATCTACATCTGCACAGCTCTCAAATCCATTACTGTGCAGGATACAGAAAACTAAAAGATGGCTATCTCCTAACCCAACTTGTAGCGATAGAAAGCAGCTCCCATGAGTTAGGGGTTCAGGCAAAAGTGAGGGAAACTCCCCCAACCCATCTAGGGTCAAATTAGTGACCAACTATATTTACCATGATGCATTCCCTTAAGGGGACAGCTCATAATTCCTAAGTAACTATCCAATTCCCATAGACTGGCTGGGACAGCACAGGTATTTTGGAAGGAAAGTGACAAGCCACAAGAGAATAACTTAGGTCTAAAGAGGAAGTGCCTACCTGATAAGAGATCACCAGTGAGAGAATTCTCGGGCCCAGGAGAAGCTCCAGTAATTGAAGAAGAAAAAGTATCTTGCAGAAGCCAAAGAAAAATGAATTACAAATTACATGAAGATTAGAGATAGATATGTATATGATTGAGAAAAGAAATTGCTCAGCAATCAAATAAAATGGAAATTTAAAAACACAAACTTGCATTATTATAGGATAGTACTTTTATATATATTTACCTGTCCCAAATAGGTCTATGCTAGGAGCTGCATCTGACTTAGGTGGTGCAGGAGCCTCAGCAGGTGTGGATTCAAACAAATCTAGATGAAGAATATATTGTGTCTTACTAATTTGTATCTCCCTGTTGTAAACCTTGTTTCTTTTCAAAAAACTAATTGCCATACAGTCTAAATATGCAAAAAAAGAGAGAGACTGTTTTCACAGGCTGAAAATCTAATTCACCCCAAAATGTATCAGTTGAAAGAAATAATTAAGTAAGTTACCACCAAAGATATCTAGAGCAGGAGGAGGAGCAGAGGTGGTGATAGAGGTGGTAGTAGCAGATGTAGTAGCAGTAGTGACAGTAGCAGTAGTAGCAGCAGTTGTAGCAGGGACTGGAGGGGCCACAGCAGCAACTGGAGTAGGACTGGTTGCAGAAGTAGGTGCACTAGTTGTAGGGGTAACTACAGGAACGCCGGTCTCAGCTGGCTTCATAGCAAAGAGGTCCAGCTCAGGAGCAGCCTCTGCATTGCCTTCTGACGGGGCAAAGGGGTCTTGTAAAAGGAAACGGCAGAATATACATATATAAAGGATCAGCCGGGAAGGAGATAGGAAAAGCCACACCCTGTGTGGATTAAATCATACACACACGTATCATCATTTATCCATACATGCAAAACAGAGATCAAAGGCACAGCTTTGTTAACTACTGTTGATTCTCTGACATCTGTACTAATAGGTGCCCATCTGCCCACATGCATTCTCCCTCTCACTTAAACTAAGGTGTTTCTAACCGGAGAAACATTTCACCAGCTACATGCAAGATTCAGCATTGTTAACATTTTTCAATTAAAAAAGGCTTTGGCGAGCAAATCATGTAGGAATGCTTTCTTGAAACAATTTTGTTCGATTAGAACTTTTGTCCAAATACCTGGGGAAAATGTGTGTTGGCTTTTTTAGAACCCCTCCCCCATCCTTAAGTGATAAACATACTGCCATGAAGTTTATTTTAATTAGTATGACACACACACAACAACGACAGATGAGCTAATGAGATGGAACCCACCATTTCCTGAGCATGCATCAAGAGCTGCTGCTACAGGGGTTGGGGTAGCTGGTGCTGCTGCCCCTTCAGGTGCTGTAGGGGCTTCACCAGGAGAAGCTGCAAAGGCATCTTGAGTGCAGGTTTAGAAACAGAAATTAAGAAGAACAATAAAAAAGAAGAAAATATAGTAAAAGAACCAAGTTAAATAGCATAAAAAAAATCCCTTATACAAAATGCAGATTCATAGGGTGAAGGTTGCATTTGTTTTGTGCAATTACCGACCGTTTTCAAACTAAACTCAACCCACGTAATTATATTAGGTCACAAAGATTGCGATAGTCTGGAAGTACGCACAAGATAAGCAGAAAAGCTAATGGTGAAAAATGCTCCTTGTATAAGGGTCTTGAGCAGCATGCATATGTAACTTCCAAGGGGGAGAAAAACCTAATAAATAACATAAAAATAATTCAATAATCAATATTCAATAACCAATGTTCTTAACAGAGTAACTTTTCCTGTTCTGTCAAATTGTTTCATATATTATCTAAGATGGGGGAAGTAAGTTAAAAAGGAGTCCCTGCGGATTTTATTCTGCTAGTGGTTGCCAACTTTAGGGGGTGATAGTCATCTCTGTTTTAAGGCCATTGAGCCAGAACTTTCTGAAGACATTTCTGTGGCCATGTAGCTTGCCATGACATCATGGTGTGCTGTTACCTTCCCACCGAAGTGATACCTATTTATCTACTTGCATTTGCATGCTTTCGAATGACTAGGTTGGCAAGAGCTGGGGCAAGGACGGGAACTCACCGGTTCATATGGCACTTGGGTCTTTCATGGCACTGCCGGCTTCCCAGTCAACAAGCCCAGTGTTTTAATCACAGAGCTATTGTGCCGCCCTTGGGGAAGTAAAATAGACTAAAAAAATGTTATTAGACCACAGAAGGAAAAGTTGCGGCACCCAATTGCTCTTCCCTCTGGTATCTCACAAGTTTTAACTTCAAGTTAATTTTAAGGATAAGCTTAGCTTTACTACATCGTGAGAACATTATCAATGACCAGTTCCAGTCACTTTGAATAAGGATATTGATTCTAATCTTTTTTTCTGGCATCCTCAGCGATAAAAATTCACTAGCCTGTTTATGCAATGCTGAGCTATCCTTTAGAGTTAATCAAAGCAAGTCCTCTTTTATCAACCCAAGAAAATGAGGAAATTGGGTAAAACGTAGCTTCTACTTTTTTCAAAGCTTTAATGTTACTGAGAGGCAGGAATTTTTTCTAGATTTGAATTTAGAAAACTAGATCTAGCCTTTTTCTGTTTCCCACAACTCAGTGGATATTTCTGGATGTCTCTAATTACAGCAAGTGCAAATGCATTGTTTTCTCAATCATGTAGCCCAAGTGAATTGTAGTCTATATCTCTCTGTCTATTAATTGTGTACAGTACTACAAACCCTGCCAACTCCAGCAGCAGGAAATAAGATTGTGCAAAATGATCAGAAGAAACAGGGAAAGATTGAAGTAGCCACAATGGTGGGGAGTTTGAAAAGGCAATTCAGAATTAAAAGAGGACATGTTGGTTTTGCTGCCATGCAGTTTCCCACTAGAAAGATCAAACTTACAATTTCTCTAGAAACAGGAAGACTCACATGCTTATTACGACACAGACAATTTAAAGTTAAAAATATTCATCCTTGAAAATAAAAATCCTGCTGTCTATTCTAAAAAGCTCACATAGACATGCATCTGGTCTGCAACAGAACAAGTTAAAGCTGCCTGTAAGAACTATTAAAGAGCAAAGTAATAAGAAAAAAAGCAACAGGAAATGGAGTCTGCCAAATTCTCATTGTGCTGAACTTGTATTCTAATAAATGAAGCTTTTAAGCAATTTTGTTTTGCTTAACACACGTTACAGAAAACTGTATGGCAGTTGTCCAATAACCGAGAACATTTCAATTTCAAGAACTCTACTTAGCTAAGGTAAACAGGAAGCTATACCCTAAAAGTCACACTGAAATGCTGAAAGCAGATACTAAAAATGGGATAAAATTTCACAGCTGTTATATTGGAAACATTTGGCTTACCTGAAGAATCACTAAATCGATGTATGTATGTATATTTGTTTTATAGTATGTACTTTTCCTCCTGAAAAACTTTTATCTTGTCAAATTATATTATTCTGCAGACTACAACTTACCAGATAAGGAAAGAGAAGGGCCAACCTCCTCACCCCAGTTTAGCATAACATGGTTAATGGTGATAAGTGTAGCAATACCAATAGATCTATTTCTCCCATTCAGAGAAAGAAACCTGTACAATATTTATAACTAGCATCTCTGGTGAGCAGATTTTTTTGCTTAATTATCCAAAGTTCAATTTGCTTCAGAAGGTATAGCTGATACATTTGGGGCAGTAAAGTCAGGTTGAATACAGCTTCAGAACAAGGGACCACTCGTAAGCAGAGAAGGGAAAAAAGATTAAGCTCTTCTACAGGTCTCAAACCGATTGCTATTCGCAAGGAAAGAGATTTACGCTGCTTAATATAACACATTTATGACAGGTAAGTTCATTCCACCCGTGTTCCTATGAAGATTACTTCCCAGAATTATTTTTGCATGCGGTAACATGCACGTCCGGTCTCTTTTCAAAACGTTTATTAATTCTGTAGGTGAAATGAAGAAAGCTACCAACACCGACCAGTGTTTCCTTCATCCTCCCCGTGTTTCAGTCGAGAAAGTGGTAGTGAATAAATCAGCTAACTAACCTCCAAAGAGATCCACCTCAGCCGCAGCAGCTGGAGGAACAGCACCAGTGGTAGTTGCAGGAGTAGTTGCTGTGTCAGCAGTTGCAGCAGGAGGAGCTAGGATGGGTTCTGGTGCAAATGGATCTGAAATCTGTGGTTCAGAGGTAACACTGGAAAATCCAGCCAAACTGTCTACATGTGTCCATACAGGAAGATCAAACAGGAACAGTAAGCAGAAAAGGCCAAAGTAATACTAGATTGCACAGTAAAATATATTGAACAGAGACATGCCTAGTCTAATTGAATATTTAAACATTTCAGCTGGAAGAACTGCTTAGAAATCAAGCATTACTCACCCTCTCCCAGGAGGTCTGTAACATGTCCGTTAAAAGACAGCATTGTAAAGAAATAAAGAGGGTTAAGAAAGTCAACATGCATGCTACTCAGCAGTCACTCTCTGCCAATATGGGGTTATGTCAAATCAGCAGGATGCTGCTCTAAGTCCAGATATGTCACAGGTATTGGCATGCAGTTTTACATGATGCTGTCACTTTTCCTTTTCCAAAGCTAGAAACAAAGACTGAAGTGACTAAGGCTTATCTCAACCCATCTCTGACACAGCCTTATCCAACTACAAACTACTGTTGACAGGAAGAATTAACTTGATATATATTTTGCAAATATTAATTATTATTTTAATTAATTATTAAATTAATAATTGATACCAGAAGTATTTCATGAGAAGAGTACTATACTCCTCTGCTCACAACAGAATACCCGATATCACCAGGCTTGAAATTTTGGGCTTGGACAACTTTGAACTACGCTGTCTACAGTTGGACTTAAGCGTAGTACACAAAATTTTCTGCTACAATGTCCTACCAGTCAATGACTACTTCAGCTTCAATTGCAACAATACAAGAGCACACAATAGATACAAACTCAATGTAAACTGCTCCAAACTTGATTGCAGAAAGTACGATTTCAGCAACAGAGTGGTCAATGCCTGGAATGCACTACCTGACTCTGTTGCTACATCGTCTAACCCCCACTCCTTTAACCTTAAACTATCCACTATTCCTAAGAGGTCTGTAAGGTCTGTGCATAAGTCCACTATCGTGCCTACCATCCCTGTCCTATTGTCCCCATTTATCCATACCTATTTCCTGTATTCATACTCATGTTTATTCTTATACCTATCATCTTGTAAGCGATTGACAAATCAAATAAACAAATAAATAAAAATAAAATAAAATAGTGATTAGTTTTTTTCAACACCATGAACCTGAAACTGCTTGAAGAAATGGCACAAGACTTCACAACCCAACTGGTAACAAAAGCAGCAGAGAACATACTTTTAAAATCACATAACCAAGGCCGTTTAAAAAGTCTAGAATTAAACATCTCTGCTTGAATGCAAATTAACAATTCTAATAGTGGTTTTATTGTTTGGTTGTAATGAGCAATGACACCGAAATCTTAAAACTGTTTTTATTACACAGGTTTCCTGCATTTTATAGAAGTGTGTCATCCATCCACTGATAAATAGAAATGGACTTTTCCCATCTTTGAAGCTGCAGAGGCGAGCAAAAATTGCCTGAATAGCTGTTCAATAATTCTTATCCCTTCCAGGCCAAGAGCGAAAAAAATGATAAGCTTATTTGTGAATTTGGAAAGGAGACCCAAAATGCAACCACGTAAACATTGTGAAGCAAAGGAGGCAGCAGCTTTGGGATTTACAGAAATTCTCTCGTTGCCATTTCTGCCCTGTGCTTCCAACAAACGTTGTGACAATTTCCCTCTGGAAAATTCTCTCCTTGTTCCAGAAATTGTCCAATTGATGTTAACTAAGACTGTGCCTAGGAAGAAGCCATCCAACAATAGCCAAGAGCAGCCAGAGCCTTAATTCTGGTATAGGATTTGTGATGACCATTGCCCAAACATGGCAATCTTGTTTTGGGTAGTGTGTATGGTCCATTTCCAGAGAAACATATTGTTTGATGGCTTCATAGGCAGCCCAGAACACTCCATATTATGCTAACTGAGCAAACAGGGGAAAGAAGATTCCAGTTCTTGGGTAGTCAATGCCAAGTTCTGGTCAGTCTTGGCCATGTTTCTCAGCAATATGTTTGGCTGTCTGGTTGATTTGATGGCTCTGATGTCTATGTGTGATTGCATGCACATGTTCTCCAATCATGCTATTGTGCACTTAAAGGTACACAGTTCTTTAATGCATTTTGCTGCAAAGCCACATTTGAACTGGTTGATTGGCTTGTTTGCTGCAGTTCTGTCTTCTCAGATACTTTAAGGAGAAAAAATTATTGTTAACTGAGGGTGAGTAGATTATTGCTTTTGTACTGCTGCTTATCTCAATATTATCACCATGCGTTATTATCAGTTGATGGATTTTGGGAATTATGATCATGAAAATCTTTTGGCAGTAATTAGCTAATTCATCTAGTATCACTGATCATCAATAGCAATTTCCCTAAATTACAGTTTTTAAACATTAAATAGCAATAGCACTTAGACTTATATCCTGCTTTATAGTGCTTTACAGCCCTCTCAAGGCGGTTTACAGAGTCAGCCTATTGCCCCCAACAATTTGAATCCTCATTTTACCCACCTTGGAAGGATGGAAGGCTGAGTCAACCTGGAGCCTGGTGGGATTTGAATTGCCAAATTGTAGGCAGCTGGCTGCAGAAGTAGCTTGCAGTAGTGCACTCTAACCACTGCGCCACAGAGGCTCCTAAATGTAGCGCTGTCCTTTAGAAACCATAGAAAAGCTACATCTTTGATCAATCCTAACAAAAACTCTCTGCTCCCCCCAGAAAGTAATTGTTCTCTAAAATATCCCAGATTGAGCAGTACTTGTTTTAAGAGAAAGTACTGCATCTTCTATAATTGTCAAATCGAAAATTAGATCCTGCAGGAATACAATCCCTTCCTTCACTGTTGGAGCAGTGTTGATGTAGGTATAGGATTAAAAATAAATTTCCCCCCATCCTTCCTGGAAAGACTCTTGATATAATTCAGATATATGCGGATGTACTGAACAATTCTTGCTTTGATAGGGCAAACTGGGGAAGGAAAAAGATAGCGAAAACAATATTTCATTAAGTCTCAGAAAGGAAAGACCTATCTGCATTGTTCTTTAGGATAGGGCATAAATGATATTACATTTTTTCTTTACATTTGACCTCCTGAGAGAACAGATGCATAGCAGAGAAAGCATGCAGCTGACAATACATTTATTTTCTTCTCCTTTTTCCAACACTGCCAAAGCACGTATTAAACAAAAGCAAAATTTAAACAAAAAATGAAGAAGATCTCTTGAATAGGACTCGCTTTACCACTATGAAGATTGAGGGAACCAATTCAAGTGGCAAAAGCTGAAGAGAGAGCACCCTAATTGTTTATATGTATACATTACATGTGACCTTATAGCCCAAAGGGCAAGAAGCAATCTTAGTTGGTTGTCCAAGTCTCTTGGCTTCTTTTTCTATTAGAGAATAAAGGCAGGTGTGCGCCACATAACTTGGCGTGCCACTCTCTCGGGTATAGTGAAGGATACCATTAAAAAATTTAACCCATAATACCGGTGTTAGTTTGCTACAACAGACAAGGTTGCACCTTTGCACATTGTTAGAAACAGTTTTAATGCCACTCATCAAGAAAAAATTATATAACTTAAAATGCTATTTTTAAATGACTAAAATTTTTCTGTCCTGTTGGTTTTACGATAGGCTCAATATTCTCAAAAGATGTTAAAAATGTTCTGAATTCCAACAGTATCCACTGTAGTTCCAACCTCCTGTATTTTGAATGACAATTTAAAACATTCAGATTTTAAATGTTCACATTCCTTCAATAGAAGGAGAAAATTAAACCCAACAGATATCGGAATATAATATAATATAGTGCTTTGATTGTAGGCCAATAAAATGAAAAATGAGAAACACATTTTAGAATTTCTTTAAATTCAACCACAGGCTGGTCCATGAAACAAAACCTTCAGGATATGTTTGTTTGAAACATACAATGGAATAATGTAAGTTACATTCAATTCAAAAATTGTATTCAAAAAGATTATTCTGAAATTAAAATATGTTATAAAGATGAAACTTTAAAATTCATTATAATGGTATTTCCCCCTTCAAACTGAAGATTTCTAGAGATGTTAGACCACTTAGTTCTGATGGCTGGTAGGTGGAAATGTTGTAGTCTGACATATCCGGAGGCCTGAATGACTGAAAAAGTCTAATTTACAAAATTGCTGTAATCAGCACAAATAGTCTTAGACATATGAAGGTGGATTAAGAAAGCATGCAGCATTCCAGCTTTAGTCTGAAATTAAATTTTAGGGAACTATAATCATAAAGGTTTTACCTCCCCATGAAGTTGTTCCACCCGTGGGAGCTGCTGAAGCTGCTTGTGCGGAGCCAGATGTGAAATCTGGTTGAAGATCTAGAAGATCACTGGAGGGCTTGGAAGCACTATGGAAAGGGGAAAAAAAAGTAATTTGGATAAAAGTCATAAAAATAATTTTGAAGAATTCATTTGCAAGAGTTAAACAAACATAATGGCATATTTAAGAACATAATTAGAACAGTACAAATTGTTGTGACCTTATATCAACTTTCCCCAACCAAGTGTTTTCCAGATAAGTTAGGCTACAAAAGTCACAATTTCTAGATCAATAAAGCTCATTTATTCCTTATTAATCCACATTCCACAAAATTTTCAGGCAGAAAGAATTTGTAGGACATTTTGTAGGAATACCGTATGTCTACAGCCTGTTGGGATTTGTTCTCCCCCCTCTGAAAGAGAAACATTAAATTTTGAGGGTGGTTATGATTTGTACACTGAAGTTAAACATACATGCTTTGGCTTTTGTTTGCAATGTATTTATAAAAAACGTCTTCTATCATCGAAGAAATTTAACAGAAACAAAAGAAGCAGCGCATACTTTATAACATCTTGCATGTAGTGACCACAGTGGAGCCCCAAATGCCTGTTGTTAAGTGAGACATTTGTTAAGTGAGTTTTACCCCACTTAATGACCTTTCTTGCCCCAGTTGCTAAGGGAATCACTGCAGTCGTTAACTTAGTAACATTACTTAAGTGAATCTGCTTTCCCCATTGACTTTACTTGCCAGAAGGTCACAAAAGGTAACCACGTGACACAGCAACCGTCCTAAATATGAACCAGTTGCCAAGCGCCTGAATTTAGATCATGTGATCATGGGGATGATCACTAAATAATCTGTTTTCAGTCAAGGACTACCTGTACCAAATATTTTAAAAGTATCATAGCTGCAACTAAACTAACCTGACTGGAGCCGTCGTTGAAGATGTTGCAAAAAGATCAACTGGTGGAGATGTATCAATACTTTTTGCTGGGGTAGAATTAGGAGATGTAACCGTTGTGGCTGGAGAAGACTGGAAAAGAAGAGCTGGTTAGGACATACCACATTTATTTAAGAAAATTTACATGGCCACACACTCACTCTCAGCAACTCTGGGCAGCTTACAAAAAGGTGCAATAAAAAAGGTGCAATTTTTATATGACACATTGTACTTAGATATCATTGTTGAATTATTTACTTCTGTCTTCTAAATATGCTTAAAAGGATAAATATCAACTGGGAGGGGGGAGAAGTTCACGAAATACCCCTCTTAATATTATATCCTTAGTAATTTCTTGTGAAACAAGTTGAAAGCAGGATAAAGAGCAGTAAAAAGAGATTGGGGGAAAGTCAGTAGGATACAAGGAAGTTATATCCTTTAGATCCACTTCCCAGCAAGTCAGCATTAATACTTAGCTTCCTTCCTCAGATGGAAGGAAAGCCTGCAAATATATGCAGATTTTAATGGTGAACAAAAAGCTAAAATATCCCCATTTTTATAGGAAGTTTCCAAACCTGCACAGGCTTTCTCAAAAATTCTTTAGTAATATTACAACAGAGTAACATGAACACTATTTAATCATTATGTAATAAGCTTCAAATTAGTTTTATAAAAATCATTCCATTTTTAAATTATTTTATTATTTTTGATAGCCCTTAAGGAAAAGAGCACATAGGCTAATATTAAAGAATCAAGAGCCAAAACAGGAATTACAGTATGAAAAGCATTTCAAAAAGTCCGCTCTGAACATGTCCCTTGAATTTTTGTTCACAACTTAACATTATTTGGGGATCAATAACTAGTAAGATCTCAAATTTCCTGGCCAGCACAAAATTGGCATTTTGTCAAGATCCACGTAGGAAAAGATGATACCCCATTTCTCCAACAATACGGCCTCCCCCAATAGGAAGTCCCAGCATGTGTTATAGGCATGAAATGAAATTAAGCCTCTCCCCCCCCAAATTAAGGCCTATATTAAAACATGCGAAATGGGGAGAATGGTGGGGGGGCTTGCCGTTAGGAAGTACTTTTGTTGCACACCTGGATATAGTGCTGCCTGCGTTGACCCCGATATGAAGTCCCCCACCAACGGCGAGGTCAACATCCAAGCCGTCGCTGCCCACCCGCCTGAAGATGCAAGGGGGGGGAATTAAGTCACCCCCGAAAAGACGGCCTAGCATTTTTGGGGGGCTCAAAAAATAAATAAAAGACCCGGCCTTATTATATGAGAAACACGGGTAGCAGTGTATCTTTCCATCAAGAATACTCCTTTGCTGTAAGAGTTCACGTACATTTACAAAAACAGTACATTCCTAATGGAGTGCGCGTTTATGGAGTATAAATCTCTATACAATAAATGCCTCATTTAAAAGCTTCAAAGTCAAGTCTATTTTAAAAGTTGGCTTTATCATAGTAGATATGATAAAATTCAAGTCCCACTGAAATCTTTTCTGGAAAAGTATTCAGTGTATACCTTAAAAGTTGGACATCCTTGTGTATAAAAGTGATGTTAATATAAAATATTTTGGACAGAAATTTTCATGTAGTTAATTATGAAAGAGATGACAACTCTGAAATGTAGACTGTTTACTATGTTGTCAGGCAGCTGATGGACAGCAATAGGATCTTTGATTCTGGAATGCTGAATGAAACATTGTAAGACAGGCTTTTGTGTACTATATGAAACATTAAGTGTGGTAAGAGAGACCTACTATATCATCTAAATCCATTTGTTCAGGATATGGTAGTAACCTTCAACCATCATATCAAAACTATAAAACACTCTGTTTTGCCATGCCTTTAGGAAAGAAATTAAAATATTTTCATCCAATTACTGATTATTCTTGTTGATTTTTTTTTTTCAACTGGATTTTAACTCTTTAAAATTATTCAGCTTTTGTTTTGTCTGTTACCAAGAGGGATTTCAATACTAAATATTCTGCATCTATATTTGGCTGTTAGGAAAACTGCACAGTGTTGATAAAAGACAGCATGGGTTTTTAATATAAAGAATCTGCTATGAAATCATCATAAAATGTATCAGTGAGAAGGCAGTCTTAGATTTAATCCTAAAAAGTCTTTCCAACCTTATTTAAAAACTCTATTACCAAAGCAGTCTTAGCCACCAACCACAAAGCTGTCAAATTTGAATCTATAGTAACTAGGAAATGTCCAAGAAACCACTATGTTTCACATTTTTGTTTCACAGTAGGAAATTTTTCCATTCAATTATTTTCAAAGTTAAATCATGCATGAAACCTCATGTAGAATGAATTTTTAAAAAGCTTTTAAAAATATAACCTTCAACATGTCCAGTAGAATGTCAGAAGAGCTTATGAGCATGGAAATTACTTAAAAAAGGGTACATTTGTAATGTGAAAAATAGGTTAAGAGCATTATTACAAAATAGCTGGCAGGAAGAACAATTATAAATACCACAGACAAACATATCCATTGCTCAAAGTGTAGTTTTCTGGCTCCTCACCCACCTATTCTAGCCCAGTGAATTTCTTTAGATTGGGTTTAAAATTGTCACACATAGGGCAAAGAAAAATCTTTTTCTTTCCCTTTTTTGTTGGTTTTTTTTACACCTGACAAAGAAGCAACTCTGTGTTTCGTGCTCACTACAGAACACAACTCTGCGTCCACTGTAGTCTAAGTCCTGATTCACATTAAACCAAAGCCCAATTTGGCTTATTAGCATGTTGCATGAATGTGTTCATTACACAATGATATGTGCACTTCCAAGGCAGACTTCTTAGCTGTTATCATGTGCACTTGTGGCGCAGTAAGTAATACTCATTTCGCCAGGCACAGTTATTTTCAATTTCCTGTGCCCTAAAATATTGCAGCCTAAATTCTAAGATGATGCTGGTGAAAGACAGGACAGCACGTGATTAAATCCATCAATGTACATTTTCTCCCTTAAAATGTAATTGCTGGTTATAAATTCACTCGTCATGCAGTCCTTATATCTTACTTTTGAGTGTGTCAGAGAAGGTGTGCAAGGGTGTGCAACATGTGCTGTATTTGATCAGGGAGTGTATATTGCTCTACACAAGTGGCTAAACACAGTGTTAATGCAGAGGGGCTGTAGATGAAGCATTGGTGGGGAAGATCTACACTGGCAACTTACAATCTTTGTAAAACTTTCTGGAGACGCTGGCATGGAAAGTTTGCAAATGATGATCCCATGATTTCAGGGTGCTTAGCAATCTCGCGTTAAGTACCATCTTGCAATTTCATGACTCCGGGTAGGCTGGGATGCCCAGAACCTTCAATACCAATTTTAATCTCCATTCATTCTGTGCTGTTGTAACCCGGAACACGCATGCTCATGATTCAAAGACTACCTATATTACATAATGTTTGAATCCAGGGAAGTTAGTCTCCCTTTGGTGCCACTGAAATCCCATCTATTTCAGTGAGGCTTGATTTCCTATGGATACATGCTTATGTTTGATTCTGTAGTTTAATCTTCTGGAAAGAAGTCACGGTGGAAAGAGGCCAACCTGCGTAATATTTTTCACATAGAAATGAAAAGTAATAGAGGTGTGTGGGATGTAAACTAGAAGAGATCAAATATCAATTTTATACATTCTTACAAAGCACAAGACTTCTCTAGTTTACATACTTAATTGAAGACTCAAGTAGTAATATCAATTTTTAGATTACCTTGCCCAAGGGGGAAGGAGCACCAGACCTAGAAGAATTACATTAAGAAAATATGATTCAGGAATAGACTTTATTTGCTAGTTGTAAACTCACAAAAAAATCTGGCAGACTGTTATAAATATAATTTTAAACAATAGTGATTGCCTATGCAATTGCAAAACTAATGTTTTGTTTTAAAAACAGATGGGAAAACATATTAAAAATAGGAACTACTCGTTTCTTCTCAAACCTTTTTTCACTGCTTTTTTTTAAAGTGGAAGCAAATATTTAAAATATTCTCTAATAATTTCAGTTTAAATCAAACATAAAATGGTTAAAATGTGAAATTAATTGATCTGTTTGGATATCATGGCAAATCACAATAGAAGTGCCCATGAAAATGATAAAAAGATAAAGGATCAGGACAAATAGAAATGTTTATTGTACTTCAATTCAGAAAAAGCTGACTTAAATATGTATTAATCTTAATCTTACCCCTACTAAATATTGCCCTAACTGCAAAAGTGACACTTATTTTGTTTAAAAGCAAATAGTGATGGTATCACCAAAAATAAGAGCTATTGTGTTCTCAGAATTCACTAGCTTGGTTTTCATTTTTAGTTTTACATTTTGTTGAGCTATGTTTTAAAAAACAATAGCCTCTTTCAAGAACAGATTCATTCCTAAGTAATCAAACATGCAGTATTTTTGGCAACAACACAGAAGTAGTTTTTCATTGTTTATTTTCCAGAATTTGTTTTTTAGTTCTTACTCTTATCTTCCTGATGCTGTAGTCTCTCATTCAAATATTAATTTAGCTTTTCAGGAAACCTTGGCTAACACAGTCTAATCTTGATATGGCTATATTTTAAAGTAAATTAATAATTTTGTAGATATTAACTGTATAAAAGTATATTTTTAATTCTGTGAATTGTGTAGTTTTATAACCTTATATTATACATGTAGTACTGCATATATTCATATTCCCCCCTTCCCCCCGCTCTATATATAAACCTTGCCCTAAATCCAACTCGTAAATTAGAGTCTTATAATCTCCTAACAAAGTTCAATCAATACTTATTAGCCAAATCTTTAAAAAAAAGTTTCTTTAACTTCCCTTTGATTTTGAATAGTTTATTAAAAAGATTGAATGTGGGCTCTTATCACATTATAGGAAACAAACCATTATAGGAGATTAATCTTTCTATCATTTAGTGCAAGGAGCTAAATAAAATCAGTGAGCCAGTAAGCCAGATAACAATTTAGCTAGCAGTATGAGTTTACAGTTAATTATCTTTTTAGAACAGAAATTATATTTTCAAAAATACTATAAACATGAAAATTACTATTGTGCTTCACAGGCATTTCATTTTCCAGAGTTCCAAAACAGCATGCCAATTACTGGTAAGAAACTAATATTCATAAAATATAAGCTTTCATTAAAGAGACTGATACACACAGGCATATGCATTAGTGTATTAAGTTTACTTACCCATCACTAAATGGCAAAAGATCCATTATGCAAATAAAAGAGAGGGATACAGAAAAACAAGATCAGTTAATATGTCAGCCTATTTTAATTTCTTACAATTACTACTAACATTGGATGATAAAATGCAGACCATAAAAAAGTCTGCTTAGAGTACAACACAAGAGACTTTATATGTTAGCTTAAAAAGTGGTTATTTGTAGCATGTATACTCAGGAGGAATTTCTGGAGTTCTGTTGGCCTTACATTAATTAGGATTACAACCTTGGTTAAACTTAACGACTATATTAGCTACCTATAATATTCAGACATATTTTACTTCAATTTCTGTGCAACACAAAGGCCAGATCTCCATTTGAATTAACATCATGTAATTGGTTTTGGAATATGCAAAAAATGCAGAGATAAAAAGGAAGCAATTATTAATTTTATATAATCTCATCAATGCATCTAGTTTCTTTACTATACCAAGTGACAGAGCCAAATTCCAAGTGTACTATGTGATTGAAGAAACCCACTGATACAAACTACAAATTTCTATCTGTTTTAATAATTTATAATACCTGTAAATATTTACAACTGCAATCCTACATGGTCAAAGCTACCACGTGTAATAGCACACATCTACTTTGTGTTTCCCCATTACAGCTTCTTTCATCGGCTGGAAACATGACTGTTATGCCATTTTTGCTGCCCAGGACAAAGCAATCATATACTTCATACCAACAGGTAAGCAATAGTATCACAACACATATATGTACCACCCATTCTGAAAGGAAGACTGGAGATAATGTTTTTGTGTGAAGAAGTATGTGTATAGATACTAGAGAAGTTCTATGTTGCTAATATTCCTTCAATAAGTGGTTATCAAATGCAAGCAATAAAGCTATCACTAATCAATGAGAAATTCAGAAACAGAGACATACGTGTGGCTTATTACAATCATCAGTTGAGATGCTGTTTTGTGTTTACTATAGCATAATGAACGCTCAATGCTTTTTCTAGTAAGGAGCCAAAAACTTCACCAAGCAATGCTCATATTGATACACAGATTCTCTCCCCGCAACCTCTTTATATCAATCTATAAAATCCTTCATACTTGTTCCCAGGTTTCTTTCCTTCCAAAGTATTCAGATGCTGTTCAAGAGTCTCCATAAGACTACTGGGAGCCTAAAAATATAATGAACAGATGGATTTTAAACCAAAGAGCATTACAAAAAGCAACTGATACAGAGCTCAAGAGGCATTTCCAAAGGGTTTCTTTTTTTCTTTGAATTGATTATTTGCATGGATATGCTATTTATTTGTTTGTTAAATTTATTTGCCGCTTATCCCACTTAATGCATAAAACAACTGTGCAAAAGACCGCTTCCGTGCTACTATGGGTTGTATATTATGCCGAAGTCCATTTTTTGAAGGAAGAGGTTATTAGTTGGAATACAAGCTGAAACCAGAATGGGTATATATTAAACATTATGAATAGCACAAATGTTAATCTTTACAAAAATATATGCATACATACCTAAAATACATATTCAATGAAAAATCTGACAATTTGTTCTCTGTAGAATTAGATCTGTAACACAGCAGCAAACTATACACTAAAATGGACACAAAATCTGAGGTCCCTATACTAGACCTTTCCTCCCTGTAATGTTAACCAATGCCTAGCACACTTCACTTTCTCATGTCTAATAATATAAAGGAGGGGCATAAGACACAGAATGCATTACATATTAGAGGCTCTGAATACTGAAGGTTAGTGGTCGGAATTCTGTTTCTCATAAAACCTGGTTAATCCTTCACAGTTTATGTTACTGGTCTGAATATTTCTTAGAAGCAACTTATGACGTACTTCAGAATTATTTTTCAGACCTGCTTGGGGCACATTTTAATTTTTTTAAGGATCATAAAGTAAGAGTTTTCCAGTCAGCCAACGTAAAAGTGATAATATAGGTATAATCGCCAACACTTCCCTTTTTTCCAAATGTTAAAGAAATATATTTCACATTCTCCTCTATAATGATATGCATTATATATGTTCTTCCTTTAATATATTGTTGTAATGGATCACTGAAGAATCCTGTTCTTCATCATAAGACAGAAAAGCAGTCAAATATTATAGTTTATCACCATTTCTGGAAATGTAAAAAGGCACTAATAAAATACTGAATACAAAATCATGAAATGTATCAGAATTAGGAAATATGTTTCTAATCTTCCCCAAACAGATAATGAAGGCTTCAATTACAATCGAATTTTCCAATTTATTGATTCATAATGTGTTGATAAGGCACCAATTTTTTGAACCCACACATCTGTTGATTAGTTTATATAAATAGTTAGAACATATCTATTTAACAGTAAAATAAATATATAAATGAATATAAATAAAATAATATAAAAACAAAAAGTAGCCTTTATACTACTTCAAAGCATAATCAGAAATCTCCATTCATGAATCCATAGGAAGTTTGATGTATGGAATTTATATGAATTGATAAAGCCAAGTTTTCCTCAAGTTGATATGGATGCTTGAGAATGTCACGGATACATTTATGTTTTCTCTTGGCCGCAATTTTGAACTGGTTTGCCACTGCCTCTGTTTATTTGTTTTTTAATTTTCCAATCTAATCTTAATCTGTTACTCCGGGATTCCCTGGCTCTCTCCCATCCAAGCACCATTAGATCTGCCTTGCTTGATTTTTGAGATCAGCCAAGGTCAGCTAAGTGCTGCCATCTAGCTGGCCATTTTGGAAAATACTTTTGTAATTAAATGATTATGTAATTAAATGATTATTCAATAAGTCTAAACATTACTTGCAAACTGATAAACTTTCTGCACTTTTATTTTGCTTTTTGTCTTTTTCCACCATTTCAACTTCCTTTCTCCCTGCTTGTTTACTTTTTACTCATGTTATTGAAATTTAATAAATTACCTTAAAAACAAAAGAGAACATTAATCAAGGCCACTAACTTATTCTGTTCAAATTGAAAGATGCGCAGTTAACTAGGTGGAGCAGACTTTTAGGGAAAATAAATGATTACGCTATTATTTATTTATTTATTTATTTGGATATATATATATATATATATAACAATAGATCATCCACTATGCAACATGATCATGCATGTATTCAAAAGTCAAATTCTGTTCTTGTTTCGTTCATTTATACAGAAACCATTTTTTACTCTGAATGTTTCACTACCTATGGCTATGGAACCTCAGCAAAAATTTTAAGAAACTGCAAACATGGTTTATATTCAAGGACTTTCAAAACTGCTCATACACTACTTAACAGTAAGGATGTTAAGATATCCAAAAGAAAGCAAATGCTTTCAGCCTCCATGTTGTTTTAAACTACTGCTTTAGCTGCCCGCCAGCGACAGGAAAGCATTAAGTCATGGCATTGGCTTTTATGAGTGAGGAACATTCTATCTTGTCCTCACTGGATGATGATGGGAAAGTCTTCACTCTCCATTACTGAATATAATACCAACAGCAGTCTTAAAAAGACCAGTGTGTTGAATTAAACCCCTGAACAATTTCCTAATGCACTAAAATATGGGGAAGATATATAAAATATATAAACACTGGAAGATATAAAAATTCTTATTCATGATTAAGGAATTTACAAAACCTCTTGTTTCAATTTAAACAAGATTATATTTCCAACACTCACTTTCTAACTATGATCGGGCATTATCACGTAAAAGCACAAAAGAAAAATTATAACCAACGCAAGACAAGATACTTCATGCTCCTTTGAAGCTACAGTAATCATATATTCTGTCAAAAGAAAAACATAAGCAAAAGGAGAATGGTAGCTGAATTTATTTACTGTACTTCGAACAATTTCTAGCACATTACTGTGAAAAAGGCCAATGATTATTTTTATAGTTCTGCAACTTTATATCAGTGTAATTTTAATTCTATCTACCTGTAATGTGTAATTAGAAATAAATCTGTTTCATTTATATGCAAAGTATTAAATTGTTATACTGATAGGATGCCATTGTAATGCTTGCAAGTACTTAGGTTAAATTTCTGCAGAAACTACTTTATTTTTGTTTAGCAACATACTTCATAAGTTTTTTAAATGTTGCTGAAATATTTGTATTTGCAATAAACAACATTTCCCCAATCCTTAAAGGTAGTTATTATCTCTTTATATTACCAATACAATGATAAATAATAACTGCACTCATGTACAAAGTAGAAATATGAATAAAATTTTTCATTTCTTTGTATTGAAGTATTTTACATGTAATAGTTCATAAGCAATTGGTTTTATTATGGTAACCCTAAACCTATCTCTTCCTTGGAAAGAAAACAATTAAGCGATGTTATGGACCAAGTCAAAGCACTAGATACAAATCCTAAAGAACTTCTTTTCTCAAGTGTACTATTTGCATTCTCAGACCTTCCAAAGGTACCGTATTTTTCAGAGTATAAGACGCACTTTTTCCACCCCCAAAAGTTGTTAGAAAGGTCTGTGCGTCTTATACAGCAAATGTTGCTGAAGCCCAGCCCACCCACAGCCCCCTACCCTTTGGCCTTTGCCTCCCAGCAATTTACCTTCTTGCAGGAAACAGCAGCCTGTTTCACCTTCATCACAACCTGATTAGCACAACCAGCTGATTGTCGGTTGGATTGGCCTCCTGATGATCAGCTGTTTCAGGCAGCAGGGATTGCCACTGCCTCTGTGCCGCCTCCACACACCCCATTTTCAGCCTCTGTGCGCCCTGTTTTCAGCCTCTGTTTGCCCCATTTTACACCCGTTCTGATCCCTGCCGCCTGGAACGGGCCG